CCTCTTGGCAGCCTACTGTACTGAGCACGGCATTGAGCAGTCGTTCACCCTTCCGACCTCTCCACAGCAGAATGGGATTGCAGAGCGCCGCATTGGCCTGGTCATGGAGGTCGCCCGTACCTCCTTGATCCATGCGGCTGCCCCCCACTTTCTGTGGCCGTTTGCAGTCCGGTACGCTGCACATCAGCTCAACCTCTGGCCCCGTGTCTCCTTGCCGGAGACCTCGCCCACACTGCTGTGGACGGGGGAGGTTGGCGATGCGTCGCGTTTCCGGGTCTGGGGATCTCGAGCTTTTGTCCGCGATACGTCTGCGGACAAGCTCTCCTCCGGTGCTGTTCCCTGCGTCTTCCTCGGCTTTGTCCCGGACGCGCCTGGTTGGCAGTTTTACCACGCCACCTCGCGCCGAGTCTTGCCCTCTCAGGACGTCACTTTTGACGAGTCCGTCCCCTACTACCACCTCTTCCCCTACCGCACTGCCCCGCTCCCCCCCCCGCCTCTCTTCCTCGCGCCAGGTGCTGCTGTCGTAGACCCCCTCCCCCCTCAGGGTGCCGCTCCCTCAGGTGTGTCTCAGGTAGACCCGGTTGAGCCTGTTGAGGTAGCTGTCGACTCTCGTCCTGCTGTGGGTGCGGAGCCTAGGGGTGCTGAGCCTGGGGGTGCGGAGCCTGGGGGTGCTGAGCCTGGGGGTGCGGAGCCTGGGGGTGCGGAGCCTGAGGGTGCGGAGCCTGGGGGTGCGGAGCCTGGGGGTGCGGAGCCTGGGGGTGCTGAGCCTGGGAGTACAGAGCCTAGGGGTGCTGAGCCGCAGAGTCCGGAGTCTGGGGGTTCTAAGTCTGGAGGTCCTGAGCCTGAGGGTCCTACACCTGGCGGAGCCCTCTCCTCGGAGCAGCTGCGTGAGTGGTACTTCCAGTATTGCAGCCTCAGGAGAGGTACCTCTGGAGCCAGCCGTACTCCTGGGACTGGTGCTAGTGCTTCTCCTCCTAGCCGGGAGCTCCCCTCCCGTGAGCGGATCCGTGAGTGGTACGAGCGGCGCTGCACTCTTCGGAGTGGCGGATGTCTCTGCGTCCGTCCACTGCTCCTCTGCGTGCCCCTTTGCCTTCTCCTCCTGCTTCCTCTCTTCCTGCTCTTCCCGACCTGGAGTCGGACTCTCTTCGTGCTGCCAGTCCTACTGTCACGCGTCTCCTTGCTACTGTCGTCACTGACCCTTCTTTTGAGTCCACTGCTGCGTCTGCCCTAGTTGCTGAGCTCGTCGACTTTGCTGCTCGCTGTCGTCTAGACTACGCTGCTAGTCTTGTCGCTGAGTCTGAGTCTGTCTGTCCTCCGTCCGTCGGGGGTGAGTGTGCCCTTGGCACAGACGTCCTTGAGGACAGGCAGGAAGAGATCCAGTGCTTGGCCGCTGCTTCACCTCATCTCGTGTCCGTACTGCTTACCCCTGAGGGAGACCCGGATGCACTTGACATCCCGACTCCGCGCTCTTACGCGGAGGCGATAGAGGGTCCCTACTCTTCTCAGTGGCAGGCAGCTATGGATGCAGAGATGGCTTCCTGGAAGTCCACAGGCACCTACGTTGACGCTGTCCCCCCTCCTGGGGCGAACATCGTCAGTGGCATGTGGATTTTCAGGGTGAAGCGGCCGCCGGGTTCTCCGCGTGTCTTCAAGGCGCGTTACGTGGCTCGTGGCTTCAATCAGCAGCAGGGAGTTGACTACTTTCGGACCTTCTCTCCCACCCCGAAGATGACCACTCCTCGGGTACTACTGCACTGGCTGCTCACCGTGACTACGAGCTACACTCTCTTGACTTCAGCACTGCCTTCCTGCAGGGCAGCCTGCACGAGGAGATCTGGCTGCGCCGCCCACGTGGCTTCACTGGGACTTTTCCTCCTGGCACCCAGTGGAGCCTCCGGCGGCCAGTCTACGGTCTCCGCCAGGCACCGCGTGAGTGGCACGACACACTGAGGACTACGCTTGCGGCTCTTGGGTTTGCTCCGTCGACTGCTGACCCGTCGCTGTTTCTACGCACCGACACTTCTTTGCCGCCGTTCTACATCCTCGTGTACGTTGACGACTTGGTCTTTGCCACAGCTGACACTGCTGGACTCGCCTACGTGAAGTCCAAGCTGCAGAAGAGACACACGTGCACAGACCTGGGTGAACTGCGCAGCTACCTTGGCTTGCAGATCACCCGGGACAGAGCACGCCGCACCATCACCCTGACTCAGTCACACATGGTGCAGCAGGTCCTTCAGCGCTTCGGCTTCACGTACTCCTCGCCTCAGGCCACTCCTCTACCTACTCGCCACTTGCTCTCAGCTCTGCCTTCGGATGAGTTCGTAGAGTCGAGTGGCCCGTACCCAGAGCTTGTTGGCTGCCTCATGTACCTGATGACCTGCACACGACCTGACCTTGCATACCCTCTTAGCATTCTCGCACGCTATGTTGCTCCTGGGAGACACCGACCAGAGCACATGGCTGCAGCGAAGAGGGTGTTGCGCTACTTGTGCAGTACGTCGGGCATGGGGCTAGTGCTTGGAGGGCGGAGTCCAGTGGTCCTCACTGGTCACGTAGACGCTTCTTGGGCTGACGACCAGGCTACGCAGCGGTCGTCACAGGGTTACACCTTCAGCCTTGGTTCCGGCTCTGTTTCGTGGCGGGCTACTCGGCTGCTCCAGTTGTGAGGCCGAGATCTACGCCGGGGCCATGGCTGCTCAAGAGCTTGGCTGGCTCACCTACCTGCTGACCGACCTTGGAGAGCCGCCTCGTTCTCCTCCAGTCCTGTACGTAGACAACAAGGCCATGCTGGCCTTGTGTCGAGAGCAGAGACTGGAGCACAGAACAAAGCACATTGCTCTCCGCTACTTCCTTGCTCGTGAGCTACAGCAGCGTGGTCAGTTGCGGCTTGCGTACGTGGCCTCTGAGGCCAACACTGCTGATGTCTTCACCAAGGCACTTGCACCTTGTGATCATCAGCGCTTCTGCACCCAGCTGGGTCTTGTACCTGTCTTGCCTCACTTGCTCACCTCTTGACCTTGCTTGTACTGTTACATATATATATACCTGCTCTTGCTTGTCTAGCCTTATATATATATGTACTCCTGCATGTGAACTGGTCTTGTGGCCTTGAACTTGTGCTCGGAATGTGTGGTGACTTTGTGATCCACCCTCAGCTTGCTTTGCTTTGCTTTACTTGACTGGTCTTGCGACCCCTAGTTCTCCCCCACTTCGCCTATGGGGGTGTGTCAAACATTATATATGTTGTGCTTGTTTAGGCTACAGTGGGTTAGCCTATAGGGGGTACACAATTCTAGGGTTAGGTACTTGTACTGATTTCACTGTTAGTTCAACCATTCCTGTTCGTTCATTTCAACAACAAGGTCACCATCAGGCCCTCAGATTGGTTTCAGGGTATGCTGATGGATCAGCGTGCCCTGCCCAACGTCGTGACCAAGTCAGCGTTGGGGGTTTAGTTAATGCTGATTTTCTCTGGGTTAATTTCATGGGTAACTGAAGCAAATGTTGTACCGTATTCTCCCGGATAAAACACCCCCCCATAATTGTACACCCCCGGGTAGCTAATACGGGGTGGGTGTTATATCCGACCCCGTTTGTACTATACCCCCCCTTTTGGGGTGATTTTCTATAACACCCCCTTTTCTTATACATTCATATTATAGCTGTTATCGAGTCCGATTCCTTACGGGACGATATCGCGAGAATTGCTCCCTAGGTGAAAATTCGCGTGTACTTTCACTTAGAATCTGCCAAGATTTCCCCCCTCCCACAATCTCGCTGTCGCCACGCTGGCGAATCTTCCGCTGGAAGTGGCCCAATAGGTGAAAATCGCCTTCTCACATGAGGCACAGATACGTGACCAAACCAGTCAAGAAGTGACTGGTACAGTAAGAACGCACCACCGTGCGCGATTCTGGCCTCGGCGGTTGCATGAACCCTCGCCACGCAATTGGCTTTGTTTTCACCCTATCAAGTGCCAGAATTGCCCACTCGAATTTGCCACGTGGCAGATTCCAGTGGGCGGTCACGTTATCCTCATATACTCGGTTTTGCGGCACTGGTCAACAATCTTGAAGTGGAGTCAGGCCCCTGATTTTGTTTCACATCTTTTCTACAGTACTTGATAAAAAATATACCATATAATAAGACCCGGGTATTATGTAGGATTTTCCTTTGAGGAGACCCCCCCCATTTTTTCCCAGTGGTTTTCATAATACTCTAGGGTGTTTTATCTGGGAGAATACGGTACTTGAGATTTATGGCCAGTACTACTGACGTAGCTGTCTAAGGTTTCGCCTTACTTGCAAGGTCATGGGGTCAATTCCCATGTGTGAGATGTTGTGAAGTGTATGGCGGGGATTCAAGTACTAAAGCCTCATGCACGCGCACTTTCCTCCCGTACTTAACACATTTTGGTAAGTCCGAATCAGTGTGACTCGGTACACTATATTGATGCTTCAGTGTAACTGGTACACCTATACACTAATTCGTCAGGGAAGTCCTATGCGTTAAACTGAAAAATCAGTGCAAACATAAAGGATATACTGAAATTTCAGGGAAAACAAAAATCACAGCTACAAAATCAGCCTAATCAGCGTGTTTTAGGCTGATATCTGAGGGCCTGGTCACCATCAAAGCTTCATTCATTGCCTTCTCTCAAACTTGGCAGACTTATCCTATCCACTACGATCCTTAGTTATAACAGCACCAACTGGGTGAACTAGGCGAAGTGAACACTCCTATGCACTCTGAAAAAAACAGCACAATCGCATATATTCGGAATTCGGCCTGTCGCCTGTTTGCTTCATACCCGTATTACCAGAAGCCCCATGTAAACAAAACCCAGGGGGGGCTATCCAGACCGGAGGAGGAGCACGTAACAGGCAAGTATAAAAAAGAGACCTTTTACTATACCATTACATCGGATAAAAAAAAGCTTCGACTGTATGTTCCTACACCCATATCATTCGACGGGGCACTCGAGGGACGCGTCCACATCACCTGCTGCTGTCCTTGAACCCCTCAAAAGGCCCTCCCACCCGCCCTTCCCCTTCCTCGCGCTCATCCACCCTTCGCCGCCATGTCTGTCGCCCGCCCCTCCCGCCACCACCACGTGACTCCCTGCCCTGCCCGCCCCCTGCAGGCCTCTCCTCCATCTGCCCCCGCCTGCTCCACGTGTCCCTACTTCCACTGCCACCACCACGGCCACCACCACTGCCACTGCCACTGTATGTCCACCCCTCCTCACTCTCTTGGCTGCCCCAACCCTCATCCCCGCTGCTCTCCCTCCCTGAACTTCCTCCTCTGCTCCATCTGCCTCTGCCCTTACTGCTCATTCCTCTGCCTCTGCCATGGCCGCTGCTGCTCGCCCTGGGGTCATCATGCCGTGAACTCACGCCAGAGGCAGCGCCACCACTGCCGGCGATAAAAGAGGCACCAGCAGCATCGGCGTCATCACCGTCGTCATAATCAGCACCGGCAACACCACGAGTAGCACGGCTTCCCATCTCGCCCGCCACACCTGCCGACCGCATGCGTGCCCCCTTGCTCACCACTCCCGCTGCTTCTCCCCCCTCGCCCTCACCATCCAACTGCCCCTCCTCCTCCTGCGTGTCAGCCCCACCTGCACCCTTCTTCCCCGCCTGTGCAGCAGCAGCGAGCCTCTCTGCCTCGTGTGCGTGGCGGTCAGCCTCGGCCTGCTTGCCCCTCACGAGCTCCACCACGGCCGCCAGCTCCACCAGCGGGATGGCACGCGGCAGCATGTTGCCGTACTTGCTGGGGGGGCAGGTAGGGGGTGCCGTGAACAGAACAAAGATGCTGTGAGATCACCAGGGTAAGGTGAGATGACCGCGGTGGGTTGAGATGAATGGGGTGGGGCAAATGCCTTGCTTTCTGCATGGAAATTCTCATAACCAAACATGAGTTCCATCACCCACCCACCCTTCGCTAACCCACCCTCCCATTACCACACCCCCCAGTCGCCCCTTGCCCTCCACTCACCCCTTGCCCTCCACTCACCCCTTGCCCTCCACTCACCCCTTGCACTCCACTCACCCCTTGCCCTCCACTCACCCCTTGCCCTCCACTCACCCCTTGCCCACCACCTCCCCTACGAAGCCTCTCACTCGCTCCAGAGCCACCACCTGATGTGCAGGGTGCAGAGGGGCACACAGGGAGCAGAGGGGCACACAGGGAGCAGAGGGGCACACAGGGAGCAGAGGGGCACACAGGGAGCAGAGGGGCACACAGGGAGCAGAGGGGCACAAAAGGCATGGAAGGGTAGTGAGAGGCATGGCAGTGCATCGGATGGGGCAGGGAATGGAGGGCGTGGGATGGGCCAAGACGGGGGACGGGGGAGGGTGGGATGGGGCAGGCTGCAGTGAAGCCAACCTGCTTGTAGAGCGCGGAGGACATGGTGCAGCGCACGTAGAGCACACACGGCTCGATGCGCTGCATGCCCGCCCCCGGGGGTGGCGGGGGGCCGCCCTCCTCCATGGCCGCCGCTGCCCGGCGCATTATGCTGGCGTGCTGTGGCGAGCGGATGGCCGGCACGAATATCTGCCATGAGCATATGGCCGTGGGATGTGTAGAGAGGGGAATGAGTGGAGAGAGAGCGGCAGATGCAGGCATGCCAGCAGGTGAGTGGAAGAAGTAGGAAGCAGAGGGGCCATCCTGAATGCACCAACGCATCCTCCCCAGTCAATACAACTCTACTTCCACGCTCTCCACCGTCCCACCCTCCTCTTCCCTCCCTAATCCCTTCCACTCTCATCCCGCTCTGCCCCACTCGCTCAACCCCACCAGTGCACGCACCTCACACGCCTCGCCCGGGCAGTATTGGGCCACGAGGGCGGAGATCTGCTGCTGCGCCTCGAACTCGCCCCCGCGGAACGTGCCCACCTTCCACCACTGCACGCCGCGCACCCTCATCGCCTCCACTGCATCGCCCACCTCCACCTGCTGCTGCTCAGACCCCATTGCATCGCCCATGCTTCCCTTCGCCTCAATCACTTGCCCCTCTCCACCACCCACTGCCACCTCTCCTGCCAACACCCCCCCTTCAGCTCCCCCATCGCCTGCACCACCACCCACTCCTTCCGCCTTTCTCTCCTCCCCTCCCGCCTCCCCAGCTGCCCCCTCCACCTTCCCCGCGTCACCTCCTCCCTCCAGCGCCGGCTTCTTGCGGCGCCCGCCGGGGTTGGCGGGGCGCTTCCTGAGCGGTGCCATGGCGGCCATCACGCGCTCCTCCTGCTGCCGCCTCCGCTGCTGCACCGCCTCGGGCTCCTGGGGGGACAGGGGGGACAGGGGGGACACGGGGGACAGGGGGGACAGGGGGCACACGGGGGACAGGGGGGACACGGGGGACACGGGGGACACGGGGGACACGGGGGACACGGGGGACACGGGGGACACGGGGGACAGGGGTGAGGGGTCGTGTGGATGGTAGTGTGTGAGTCGATGCATGTGTGTGGCGGATGAGAATGGCCCAGCTGCTGCCAACCCAGAGTCTCAAGGGAGCGCACTGGTCTGTCCCGCCCGGCGCCCTCTGCTCCAGCGGCGAGAGCAGGGTGGCTCCGCGCAGCCACGCAGCTGAGAGGCGAGGCTACGGTATTCCAGCGCTACCTGCCCACGCATCTGCTAAAACCCGCTCAAACCCCCGCCGCCCAGCCAAGCAGCCTCGCAAGCCGCTCACCATCAGCCGCAATCGTCGCTCCTGCCGCCGCTTCCGCAATTCCTTCCGCGACAGCCCGCCCTCACCCTCGTCGTTGCCCTCACCGCCGTCGCTGCCCTCCCAGCCGTCGCTGCCCTCGCTGCTCTCGCTACGCCCCCTCCCGTGCGCGGTGCCACCCTCCGCCTCCACCAGCGCACCCATCGCACGGTCGCCCTCGCTCTCAGCAGACCCCGCCTCCGCCGTCGCCGCCACCACGGCCCCCGCTATTGTCACTCTCTGCCTGGAGCCGGCCGGGGTGGCTATCAGAGCGACTGGACGTGGATCGGCGCGGCCCAGAGACGAGAGGCATCGCGACGGGCGTTGCGCTCGGACAGCGGCGGAGAGGGTGGGTGCGACGCGTGAGTGCGGATGGCAGGCGAGCGGCAGCGCGGAGGCGACGTGGCTGCTCGGCGCGACGCGGTGCGACGACGGCAGAAGCGGCCGCGGCGTGTAGCAGAGGGGATGACGGGCGGCGAGGGAGGACGAGGCGCGAATGGCCTCCATGAGGGCGGAGCAACTGTGGCTTCGCGATAACGTTATGTGGTGTGGTGCTGCGTTTCAGTGTGGGTTTTTGCATTTAAGCCTCAATTTTAGAATCCTAGTTTGCAAACTTAGGATTGAGGGCAATTGAGAGCTCTTAGTGCAATTGAGTGAGCGCGCGAGGATTGCAGTATCTAAGAAAGAGAACAATAAGCGAAGGCATGAGCGAAGTATATATAGCGAAACTACAGTGGTAACGGTAATACGTGGAAAATGGGGCGCGCGACGGGCCTAGCGCCGAGGTTGGGAATCGTCGAGGCGGAGGTCCGGAGCGCGGGTTACCAACCGAACCGTGAGGTTGGGCTGCGTCGTGAACAGTGGCAGGAACAGTGGTCGAGGCGAGTGTCGCGAGTGGTAGCGGCTTACTGTTGGGTGCTGTTGGCGAGAACGGTGTTGTACGCGCTGAGCAGGGACGCGAAGTAAGGAAAAGGGGAATTTCCTTACACTACCCCCACCCCCCCCTGAGGCTCTCCTTACGAAAGCGCGTGTACATCCCGGAAATTGCGGCTGCGCAGGTTCTCAATGAGGACGGGGTGGTTTTCAATTCTGTCCAGGGGAACCCAGTTGTCTTCAGTGGGCGTGCGGTCTTACCAGCGGATCAGAAATTCAATCCGGTGAGCTCCTCGTGGGTCTCGAACTCGGTGGCTTAGGATTTTCTCCGGCGTGATAATTGGTTCTGTTGGTGGTCGTGTCATACTGGCGGGGCGGTTACGAGGCAGCTGGCTGGTGGATGGAACGTATGGGCGAAGCAGGCTGACGTGGAATGACAAGCTTACATATCACTCAGCAGGGAGGAGGAGGTGGGCGGTAACGGGAGTGATCGTATGGCTTATGCGAAATGGCCCACAATATCGGGAGCGGAGTTTCTGGTGTCAAATTATATGCATGTCATATATGTGTAGGCTGTAGTGGGGTAGCCAATATGGGGTACAAACCCATTAGGGTTTCATATTTGTACCAAACCCTGATCTAGTCAATTCATCCCTGCTACTAGATTCTAACATGGTTTCAGAGCACTAGGTCCTTAGGACCGTCTTTTTTTTCCGGGCCCACCTACCGTTGCGGTTACCACGCTACCCCACGTGTTGTCCTACGCGCGCCTTCCCCTGCCTTGCCTTGTGACGTGCTGCGCTGCGCGCGCCGTCCTGCAGCCCTCGCGCTGCCTACTGTTGCCCTAGCTACGCGCGCACCGCCCTGCAGACCCTTAGGCCAGCAGGCCGCCCCTGCAGGCCCGTAAGGCCAGCGCGCCGCCCCTGCAGGCCCGTAAGGTCCGGGCGCCGCCCCTGCAGGCCCGTCAGGTCCGCGAGCCGCCCCTGCAGGCTCGTCAGGCTAGAGCGCCGGCCCGCCCTGCAACCGATGCGGCCCCGCCAGGCCGCTGTTGCGGCCCCGCCTTGCCGCTGACGCGGCCCCGCCCTGCCCCTGACGGGGCCCCCCTGCCGCCGACGCGGCCCCGCTAGGTCGCTGTCGCGGCCCCGCCCTGCCGCCAACGCGGCCCCACCAGGTCGCTGTCGCGACCCCGCCCTGCCGCTGACGCGGCCCCGCCCTGCCGCTGTCGCGGCCCCGCCCTGCCGCCGACTCGGCCCCGCCAGGTCGCTGTCGCGGCCCCGCCAAGTCGGTGACGCGGCCCAGCCCTACCGCTGTCGCGGCCCCGCCCTATCGCCGACGCGGCCCCACCCTGCCGCTGTCGCGGCCCCGCCCTGCCGTTGTCGCGCCCCCCCGAGGTCGCCGACGCGGCCCCGCCCTGCCGCTGTCGTGGCCCCGCCCTGCAGCCGACATGGCCCCACCCTGCAGGAGCTACCGCGGCCCTGCCCTGCCGCTGTTGTGGCCCCAACCCTGCAGATGACACGGCCCTACTCTGCAGCCGCTGTTGCGGCCCCGCTGTCGCCGCCGTCGTGCGCCAACCCTGCCGCCACCCGCCACTGGTGAGCATCTGCCCTACCCGCGCGCCTGCTCTATTAGCGCGCTGCCGCGCTATCTGCCTGCCTGCCTGCCTGCGGCGCCTGCCCTGCCCGCGCTGCTCCTACTGCTACTGCTGCTACTTCTGTTACTGCTGCTAGGCTGCTACTACTGCTACTGCTGCTACTGGCGGTGGCCAAATGCAGCTCCAGCGACGTCCGCGCGAGTCTCTCACGCCCCAGCAGCTTCGTGAGTTGTACGCTAGTTGGGGTTGTGGTGGTAGCAGTCGTGGCTGTCGCCCTGGAGCTGGTCAGTAGGGAGCGTCTGGCAGAGGCCAACTGCAGCTGCAGCAGTGTTCGCGCGAGACACTTACGCCCCAGCAACTTCGTGAGTGGTACGCTCAGAGTAGAGGGGCTCGAAGTACCGTTCGCTGCCCGTACGTCATTCGCACAGGCGATCGGGCTGGTCAGGCTTGCGGGACGCTTGCTCACACATAGTCCCGCTGCTTCGCCCGTCTGAGCGACGCCTGGCGTACCGAGTTTGGCGACGAAGCTGAGCTCCCCACCTGGCTGGAGCTGCTTAGGCAGAGGGTAGATATCTTTGCTCTTGACTATGATGCTATTCTCACTGCCATGTATGCATTGCCTACTAGTGCTGACAGTACCTCTTACCTGTGCGTACTGCCTGACCCAGGTATAGAGCCTGCTGCTCTAGGTGCTGGTGAGGGTGCTGCTCTAGGTGCTAGTGAGTCTACTGCTCCAGGTGCTGGTGAGTCTGCTCTCTCTGGTACTGCGCCTGCTGAGGCCTTGTACACCTTCATACTTGACTCAGGTGCTTCCCGCTCCTTCTTTCGCGACAGCACCGCCCTCACGCCGCTCAGTCGGCCGGTTCCAGTCTCCCTGGCAGACCCCTCTGGGGGTCTAGTCCTTGCGCACTCCTCCACGGTCCTGCCGTGTCCGGTGGTCCCGTCTGACTCCCTGTCTGGTCTTCACCTCCCTTCGTTCTCTACGAACTTGGTGAGTGGTGCTGACCTCCAGGACCAGTGGGTAGACCAGTTCACTCCTGGAGGTCAGCACTTGACCCACTGTACGTGCTCCCGGATAGGCCGGCACCTGGCCACGTTTACCCGTGCGCCTGGCTCGAGTCTGTATATACTGACTACTGTGTCCCCTCAGGTCGTTCCATCTGCGTCTGCGTCAGGTCAACTAGTGGCCCCCTGCTCGTGTCGCGCTTTGTCGCACCAGACCCTCTTGTGGCAACACCGTCTTGGTCACCCCTCGGTGCAGCGCCTTCGTAGCATGCACCACCGTGTCCTTGTCTCTAGTCTTCCCAGGGCTCTCCCTCTCCTCCCACCCTCGCCTGCTCCTCCATGTCTTCCCTGTGTCAAGGGGCGGCAGCGCGCCGCTCCTCACTCCTCCTCGTTTCCCCCGATGACTGCTCCCCTGCAGACCCTGCACATGGACGTGTGGGGCCCAGCCCGCGTCAGAGGGCAGGACCGTGAGCGGTACTTCCTGCTGGTTGTTGACGACTACTCGCGTTACACCATGCTCTTCCCCTTGCGCACCAAGGGTGAGGTCCCTGATGTTTTGATCCCTTCGATCCGCGCTGCCCGTCTCCAGCTCCGCGAGCGGTTCGGGACGGAGTTTCCCGTCCTGCGTTTGCACTCTTACAGAGGTGGGGAGTTTTCCTCCGACCTTCTGTAGAGCTTTTGTCGTGGGGAGGGCATTCGGCAGACGTTCACGCTTCCGGCCTCTCCGCAGCAGAATGGGGTTGCTGAGCGCCGCATTGGCTTGGTTATGGAGGTCGCTCATACCTCCATGGTCCATGCCACTGCCCCCCATTTTTTGTGGCCATTTGCGGTCCGCTACGCCGCGCATCAGCTCAACCTCTGGCCCCGTATCTCCTTGCCAGAGACCTCACGCACACTGCGGTGGACGGGGGAGGTTGGCGATGCGTCAGTGTTCTGGGTCTGGGGTTCTCGTGCCTTTGTCCGCGATACCACCGCGGACAAGCTCTCCGCCCGCGCTGTTCCCTGTGTCTTCCTTGGCTTTGTCCCTGACGCGCCTGGTTGGAAGTTTTACTACCCCACCTCGCACTGTGTCTTCCCCTCTCAGGACGTCACGTTCGACGAGTCGGTTCCCTTTTACCGTCTTTTCTCCTACCGCACTACCCCTCTCCCCCCCCCGCCGCTCTTCCTCGTTCCAGGTAGACCCCCTCCCCGCTCCCGGTCCTGCTCCTTCAGGTGTGTCTCAGGTAGACCCTCCTCCCTTGACTGCGCCGGTTGAGGTCACTGGTGACTCAGTTCCTGCTGAGGGTGATCCTGCTCGGGGTGCTACTTCTGGGGGTGCTGAGTCTGGGGGTGCGGAGCCTGGGGGTGCTCAGCCTGGGGGTGCGGAGCCTGGATGTGCTGAGCCTGGGCGTGATGAGTCTGGGGGTGCTGAGCTTGGGGGTACTGAGTCTGGGGGTGTTGCACCTGGGGGCGCTGAGGCGTCTGATGAGCAGTCTCCCTGGAGCGGCCGTCTCCGTAGTCGCTCCGTTGGTGCCTCGCCGCTGCACTCTGTCAGTAGAGCTACACTGTGAGATCCCCGATCGATCCTAGGGGGGGTTACAAGCGCGTTTGCCTGGGGGGTTATGGGCGCACTGACCCGCTACTAAAACAAGCCCTTTTATCCCAATGGTCTAGTGGTTGGGATTCTGACACACTTGCGTCTTCGTCTTCCTCTCTACCCACAGCAGCTGCGTGAATGGTACGTTAGCCTTCAGGGTCAAGCTTTTGGAGCTGGGTGCCCTGCTGCGGGAGGTGCTGATGTTGGAGGCATTAGAGCCGGCGCTGTCCCTCTCTCCCTTCAGCAGTTGCGTGAGTGGTACGTTAGCCGCCAGGGTCGCTTGCTGGTGCTAGGGGCCCTGCTACGGGAGGCGCTGGAGCTGGTGACTCTGCTACTGGAGTTGTTTCTACTAGAGTTCCTGGAGCAGCTGGTCCCAGAGGTGCTCGTACTGGAGGTACTAGAGCTGCTGGGACTGGAGGTCCTGCTGGACCTAGAGGTGCTGCTGTCGACTCTGAGGTTGGA